GGAAGAAGACAAGAATCAATGGCCAGCCCCGAAGCTTAAATATATAATATATACATACAATATATATATATATCAAGTTCATCAAACAAATTCCGGTAATCATTGAAACATTGGTGGCATACCTTGTAGTAGGAGAGATTGGGAAGCAACTTCTCAACGATCTCCTTTTTCTCCTCAGAGCCTGGGATTACTTTGAACCAGAGAAGAGCCAAGGCATGGAGGCACTTTAGAATGAGGAAACTGTGAAGCAGTCACAATAGCATATATAATTCAATCAAAGCAACTCACAGCAAAGGATTTGGCAGTGTCTCCACGTTTCCTCTTGTTGGTGGAAGTGGCCGGAGTTGTCTCGTCATCTCCAGGTACGCCATCATCACCACCCTTGCCCTTTCTTCCACGACCCCCACGCCCTTTCCCTTTTCCCTTTTTCCCCTTCTGTGCCTTTTCGTTTTGCTTTTTTGACTTAGTCGCACCCTTGCCCTTACCTTTCTTCCCATTCTTCCCCTTCCCCCTGGGACGACCAGGTCCCCTGCCACCGGATTCTTCCGCGTGCTGCTTTCTCTGGGTGGCTCGCCTTTGGCACACACTCACGCATGTACATGTATACACACACACATGAGCTAGCTAAATAGCAAGCATCCAGGCCCATGAATCCAGAGGCATTAGCACTAAAATGCGAGATAGGAGCACAACTTGCTGTTCCTTCAAGAGGTCCTCATTGAAATAAATGTCGTTCAACTTCGGCAATTTGTTCAATATTGCGTTCAGGTCAGGGGGGTTTTGGACCAATGGCTTCGTGTCCTTGATCACATGTTAGTTGGCACTAGTTACAACAATTGGACAGATGACAAGAGCAAAGCAATTTGCTGGTTGACTGGAGCCGTCCTTATGGTCAGGGTCTTCCTTGGATTCCTCCTGGCCAGCATTGTGGAGTTGACACAGAACATGCAAGACCATATGGGCACAGAGCTGCTTGCAACCCTCATGACCCAGTAGCTCATGTTTCATGTTTGGCCGACCTTCAATTTGGGGTCATCCTCGTCCGAATCCAGTTCCATGGCACCTCTGTGCCTGTCCAGCTCGGCGTTGCACGCCTCAATCTGACTCCCCCTCAACCGCTCAGTCTCCTCCACTGTTTGCTCAACTGCCTCCCAAAATTCAATCATGAGCCCACCCAAGAATTTCAAACAAATGGACAGCCTTGCGCTGCACTGCTGGCTCCCCCATCACATCTCTTGGAGCTGCATGCCCATAAGTAATAAAAAAAATACATTAAAGAACGCGTGGCAGTTCATTGGTCATTTGATGTGCCTCCTTGGAGCTGGTACCCACAACAGGATCTCCAGCAGCCAATGGCAGTGCCTGCAGCCGCAAAACATTTTATATATAGAGAGAGAGCCTCACTATTTATTAAAGAACACGTGGCAGTTCATTGGTCATTTGATCTGCCTCCTTGGAGCTGGTACCCACAACAGGATCTTCCGCAGACAATGGCAGTGCCTGCAGCCACAAAACATGTTGGTCATCGCAACACACAAAAGAAGTTCACTGAACAGATCAATTTAAAAGTCAGCAAACACATATAATATGTTGGACAGCCCAGAGCCTCAGCGACTGGAGGTTCACCACCAGGATGTGCCTCCACCCATGCAACAGAAGCACTAACACAATACACCAGAGCACATGCTCAGCCTCTTTGGTCCATGCATTTTGAGGATCTGCAGCTGCAGGGCAAGCAGCAGCTGAGGCCTGGTCATGCCATACTGGCACACTTGTTCTGTCATCCCCCTAGAACAAGTCATCCTACTAGACTGAGTTGTCAAGTTCAAGCCTCACCATCCATTTTGACCTCGCCATCCATCTTGACATCCTCCATCACACCATCCTGGATCCGCAATTTCCCTAACAGTACAAGCCAGTAGTGTAACAACACACAGGTATGTGCAATTGCTTCAAGTTGTATATAATGACTGTACAAATGATGTTGACCAACAGTCCTCGGCCACTGAAAGTGGGACCGTTGGCATTTGGTCTACAGGACTTCCAGTGATGCCATGCACAATGTTTAAGGCATTCGCATCCTCATCCCTCTTGGCCAATGAAGCCCCAGCTCCAGATGGAGATGGATGGCTCTCTGTCAACAGGTTGGAGGTACTACCTGTATTTGTAGATTCTGGTGGGACACTCAACAAGACATCTTCATTAGCAGCAACCTCGACAGCAGGACCTGGCTCAGCAGAATCTGTGCTGGTGTTCGGCCCTGCACTGGAATCCAAGTCCCCATGCCACAGGTTCGTCAAAATATTCTTGAGGCTCTGCGCAATGTCGGACCTCTGACACAGGTCTGTCTTTGATCCGCACACTCTAGACCAGCAAGCCATAAACACTCGAGCACACACACACGACAAACAAAACACAACAAACTAAGAAATAATGTACCACTTGCCAGTCAATGTGCTTGGAACGATAAGGTGTTTTGCGCCAAAGTCGGACAATATGTGTGCAATGGATGCGCAAAATCCCCCCTTGGGTCTCTGCCCAAGAGTGAATGTCGTTGACAAGATAGTCCTTGCGATCATGGAAAGCATAAGTCTCACTGATCTTGAGAAGAGCAACCTTGGCTGGGCACAGATGTTATGTATATGTTGCGTATATATATAGTTCAAAAAGCTGTTTACTTGTCTAAATTGCGAGTGCAGTTTCATTCTCATGAGCTATTTAGAGCAAAGAACCTTGATTTTTTGCAAGGTTGGAATTGTAGTTCCGAACTGGGCCAAGATGAGCCCAATAGGATATTCCAGCTTTTCACATCCCTCATCACTAGGCTCAGCGGAACAGGTCGTGAGAGCACGAGCTGGATCATTACGGACACTGGTCACGTCGACACTCTTTGCCCATTCATCGAAAGCTGCAACCAAGTAGTCCAACCTTATTCAGTGTTTTCTTCACAGTGCAGGCAGCCAAAGTATATAAGGGGAGTGGGGGATATTGTAATGCGGTAAAAATGGATGCCAACAAATGCACACTAAGTGGCTCGTGATCTTGATCACTCATGGCTTCACAACTCCAGCACAGGTCTAGCTAAACAGGCTTGGGTGGCTGCGCTGAGAACTGACCAAGTGATTCAAACTCCACAGGGTCAATGCCCACACTTATAACACAAAATGATAATGCCAGCATTAAAGCTTGCATGCAATATAGCATCTTCAGAGTCGTCAGGCTATATTGTAAAAAATGGACATCAACGAACAAACACACGTCTGGCCACATCAAGGCAGTATAGGGTGGGCGCACCTGAAAGATCTTGCCGCCGCTGCCGAGATTGAAGTTTCCGCATGACAGCAACATCATGGGAGAAGGGGTGAGGCTGGGCATCAAATCTGAGCAAAAACGTATCAAAAGTCTGGATCACCCAAGCTTCTGCATGACAGCAAAATCACAGAGGAACGGTGAGGGGTGAAGCTGGGCATCCAATCTGAACAAGAAAGCTCAAAAGCATGGATCAAAGCCCGGTGTACAGCCACATTTATGGGAACCTGCATTTTTCCATGTGCGGCTCCAGCCCGGTTCCGGCCGGTTCCGGTTCCTAATTGTGGTTCCAAATATTTATGCGACCAACCCGGTTCCTAATATATAGGGTCATGGACTTGTAGGGTAGGTGGCGAACACGAATCCCTCCAAAAAGTCCAAAAAGGGCTTTGGAGGTGGGTCGCTTTTCCTGGGACCGGGTGATGTTTCCCGAGATTTTGGAACCAGAACCGCCGAACCGCTCGTTGGCTGAATCGGATGCGACCAAGTCGATTGGCTGGGGGTTCTGACATCGACTTCGCTGAAAAGCTCGTTCAAACCTCTAACGCCCCAAGAATCTGGGCCCTCAAAAACACATAAGGGTTTCCGGCCCCTGCCATGGAGAGCCCAAGGATTCAGGATTCTTATGGAGGGAAGGTCCAACACTATGATCCAACACGTCAAAGCACGTCCACAAAAAGCGGATTTGGCTTAGAAGCCCCGGCAGGTGTCATCAAGGTAAGGTGGATGTCTGTTTGCCGCGCAGCAAGGGGGTTGTGCTCGCAAACGGTTCAATGCCACTGGCTGAACGCCAAACTCCACGTTTGAATAGACAATGACTCTGGAGGCATCACAAGAGTCTCAGGATTAAGTATGATGAAATGGACTTCTCGGCAGGATTTTGAACTCTGTCCCATAGCGCCGACCGAGACAGTACTAGAGTTACTAGAGCACTAGACTAGAATTAGAAAAGGTAGTCATTCTAGAACGGAAGGTCAGCCGGTCTGCCAGAAATGGGATAGGCTCTTCAGCTACTTTATCCAAAATCTCCTGAAACATGAAAACCATTACTAAATCATACTAAATCCCAGGATCTCCTTCCATCCTCCTCCCAAAAAAAGCTCACCACACACGTTTGTCCTCGCTTAGGCACCTTTCAGAGTCGTTGGTTCCTCCTGGTGTGCAAAGGCTGTGATGGACCTCCGGGAAAAACATGCACACCACACCCTACAAAGCCTCTAAAACTCGAAGAATTCCCATGAATTCTATCCCAGACACTCCATGTATGGCATATTTACCTACATTGGGGTGGTGCCAGAGGGGTCAATGTAGGCATATATGACAGACATGGAGCGTCTGGGTATTGAATTCCCTGAGTTAGACTCTGGCACCATAGTACTTCACCGGGGAAGACGGTCCGGTGTATCAAAACATCCAGCAAAACGAATCGACCCACCCGGACTGCACGCGACGACCGGGGAAGAAACGAGCGGTTCGGTGAAGAGTCGGCGACCAATCTTTCGAAGGAAAAAGATCCCTTCCATTAGGAGATACGTTTTTTATATCCAATTTAATACATTCATGCTTTTTACTTGCATGGATCAAAAACAAGATCCGTTTTCACATCCCAACACCGACGAAATCACACCCCATCCGAAATCGACGTGTCCGACTCCCGCGCAATTGGCCCCCCCGGAGGGCCCCGGAGTCTCCGTGGGAGCGGGAGCTGCCGTCGTGTCATCCCCATCTGAGCGGGAGCTGCCGTCGTGCGATTCGTGTTTGGGTTGGCTGAGTTATGGTGCGTTTTTGGGGTTTGAGGTCATTGAAAGACATGCGTGGCAGTTTTTTCGTCAAATGGTTCACGGTTGACCTACCTGGAAGGTCAAGCTACATGGTGGACCCGGCCTCATCCGGCCTCCAGGTTTTGACCCATCCCATGTAACAACATGCTAGAAACATCTACAAACTACATGTTGAACCATTTGGGATCCCAAATGGAATGTTTTGTCGGCCATCCGGGAGTCACCCCTGAAAAAGCACCAGTCTGTTGAATGCATTTTGGGCCATTTGGAATCCCATATGCAACCACCCACTCTGAGGGCCGATGTTTGGAAGAATTGCGGGATCCGTGCTGAATTTTTGAATATCAAATTAAGTATGACATAGTATGACCATATTCCGAAAACCAAACCATATTCCAGGTGGTGGTTTTCCACTGCCATGATGCTTTCAGGGAGTGGAAGTGTAGCACTTGGGGGTTGGAGGTTTCCAGAAACCTTTGGCCGATCCTCGTCTTTGAGCTCTTGCACTCGAACGACTGCCTTTTGTTGGCGCGTGTGCTCCTGTTCCCCAAACAAAAAGTACCGTGAAAACAAAGAGGATATATAAATAGAACATTTAAAATGAATTTACCCAGTTGACATCCCCAATAGCAAAACATTCACCACGATCTGGCTCATTTTGTATGCGGGCGTTGCTCATTGCGCTGTTCTTTCCAACATCAAATATCGAAGACATGTATTATCGCCCAGTTTATACCCGAAGTTACAGAAACCGATTCAATATCCAAGCCAGATGTATGTTCCATAGATATCCATAGACCACGAAGCACCGATGGCCGACTTGTGTCGAATCACGTGCCTGCACATAGTTTATACTTGTGTAGAACCGTTTCAATACAGCACAACAAGAGTTGCGCAGAAAGGAAGAAAGGTGAGTTTCTGAATTTCTGACCCTAGAAATGCTGCACCACGGTGTTCCTTCATGTTCAGCTCATGTCAGTACATCCCAAAAAGATCCAAAAGTACGGCGCTTGAGGCGCCTCGTCACTCAACCACGGAGTTTTACAAACCAGGTCAAGGAACTGGAAGGAAAGAGGGTTTACAGCTTTATGTCTCTAGTCTTCGCAGCCACTGTGTGCCAACTCAAATTTGCCAAGTGGCAACAGCAGCCGCGAGGCATGGGCTTTAGGTTGTTCTACCATGTTCTACGCTGGCAAACACCCTGGCAACGCATCACACACCACGAAGAAACCTCCAAATCGCCACCAATCGACTCAAATCGCTTCAAGTGGCTTGAGGCTTTCTTTAACAAAGCCAGCAGCTCGCGAATCTGCATCTCGTTGGGCTTGGTGCCTGACGTACGCGTTGGGCCCACGGTAGCTGAGTGCCGAAGTGCCGAACACAATCCCGATGAATCCTGTGACGAACACAGTTCAAGTCTCCCACTCTTGATCCATGTTTGGATATTCTTCCTTCTCACCTTAAATATATATATATATTAATATATATACTTTATTAAATATATATATATCCTGGCTATTCCTGGCTTATAGTTTGAATTTAATACAACAAACAATGACATGAATGCAAGGAGCGACCGGCTTCAACAGGCTTCAAGAAGACACTCGTTCACCTCTCCACCCGAACCCTCCGACCACCCGACGTCTTCTCGTGAACCCCACGCCGGCGTCTCTACGGGCTGTCTCGGTGTCTCGGTGTCCGCACCGTTGGAGCTGAGGCGTCTCAGTTCCCCTTCCAGCTCCACCAGGGCTGGCGCGGACAGCGAGAGATGAAAGACTGGAAGCGGAAGACTGGAAGACGGGGCCGCAGGTTGGTGTAGGTGATGAGACCAAGACAAGCAGGAGGCGGTGTTGGATGAACCATACAGAAGACATGGACTATAGATGCGATGTTCAGTCTTGAAGGTCTGGGAACGTGTGACAACCCCAGCTTTTCATCCTGGCCGTGGCAAAGGACTGAGGACCAAACAGGAGACCTCCTGAGAGGGGTGCCAAAGACGAATCAAAGGCAAACCGACAAGGTCACGGGTTCAATTGGTAATCTTGTTCACTTAGACAGACACTCCACGTATGATATGCTGATGTATGCCTACATTGATTGACCCCTGAAACGTAATCCGTGGGCAAATAGTCCATACATGGAAGGTCTGGGTTCAAGAAAATATCCACTCCGTACGCCGTACAGTAGCAAGGCAAGGTTCAAAAAGAAAAGATCAGGTCACCTCATAATAGGACCCATGAAGCTCTCCGAGTTGAGCCCAATAGATTTCTCCGCCCGGTATGGGACAATACTAAACATACCCAGCAAACCCAGCACCTTCCTCGTCTCCCCCCCCAAAGCTGCATTATTTCATTAACATATGTACGAGTACATATATACAGTATATATACATCAATGGTGGGGCAAGGAAAGCAAGAGCAGGCTTTTCCTCCAACAAGAATCCTTTTCGTTGAGGACCTCCCGTGTTCGCCGTGTCCGCCGCACCTCGAGGCACTTTGGATTTGTCCTCCTCAGCCCGGCACCTGCAGGGTGCAACCCGGGACACCTCAGGATCATGTTGAAGGTTCATTGTTTTGCTTGAAGTCAAGTGCGAAGGACACCACCAAGCACTACTCAACAATGTCCGGGAACGAAACCTTAAGGGTGACTGGGTTATATATATACGTTGTTCGATGGCTAAACCGTCAATCGCTGGGCGTTTCGCCCGGCGCCAAAGCTCTGGTGCAGTAAGGGATTCACATCTGTGTTTAGAGATGTTTAGAGTCACGAATCCTCAGTGGTCACAGAAGGGTTCGAAAAATGTCAAAGCCAAATACATCCAAATACTGGTCAATCTCCCTGGCATGCTAATTATTCTTGAATAAGTCTTAAACATCCTGGCAGCGGGTGTCTTACACTTGGGTCCAATGTCTCGCGTGCCATTACCGAGTTTGTGACACAAATGAAGCGAATCAGGTAACACAAACTCGGAACCCAACTCTCCAATCCCAAGGAGTTGGCTCCATGGGAAAGCTTTGACATCGCAAATGTTCAATCTACATTGAATCTACATGCCAACCGCAGCTTCTGAAGAGGCCAAATCCCGGAATCCCAAGTTCGGATTGGCCGATGTTTGTTGGGCCGAGCCGTGCCAAATCCAAGTTGTTGCCTTTGTAGCCCGAATCATTGATCTTGCAAAGAACACCCAACCAGGCCAGGGAACTTCACGGTGCTCCGCCCATCGCCCACCTCCCCCGTCCGTTTGAACGCGCCCGCGTCCGCGCAAGAATGAACCGCGTTCCGTTGGAAAACGCGCGAAACGCACGAAACGCGCGTCGCCCGGTCCTCAGTCGGCAAGGGCTCGGCCGGCGGTGCAGGTCCCGGCCGTAGATCTCCGCGGCCCGCTTCGTGGCCGACAACGAAGAGGCCCGGGTCGGACCTGCGGGCGCCGTCAGGACGTCATGGCCGGCTCTTCAACGGGCATCCGCAAAGAGAGAAGGGTTTGGGAACCAGCTTCTAGGCTGAAGCGGCTTAAGCAAACTCAGCCCACAGGTGGACTTGGATACTAAACATTAATTATGACCGTAATTATATAGTAGAATTAAATTGCATTCCACGATGGCAGAGTTCGAAAAGATTCGCGCCTGCACTGTTGGATGTCCTTCTGATTCCATCCCCGTCCCTTCATCTCCGTTGCTCCGCGCACCTCGTCGTGCCCCCGCGGGGCTCCCGTTGGCACGGGCGCGCAAGGCCTGGGCCTCAGTGGCTGAGCCGATCAGCAAGAATGGCAGGAGCCTCTTGTCGGGGTGTGCGTACAGCGGTACTACTGATGGATCTCTAAACAGGATGGCCCAAACATTGTCATGATATCATGATGTATTTTCATGGGGAGCCCGATCGCCCTAGCTGGGTAGACTGGTCTCTTTGCCAAAGTTCCAGGGGTTCGTTGCCTGCGAGAGCTCCCTATTTTATTGTCTTAATATATGCACACAATTGCACACACCATTTAGATCCATTAGGATTCACCCTCCTTCACCAACCCCATGTCGGCCCCCACGTTTCTCGGCTAGGCCATGCTCGGCCCCAGACGGCGGCATTGGAACCCTCATCGCCCAAAGCGCCCGGAGCCTTGGAGAGAGTGACCATGCACCAGTGATGACTTGATGAAGCTTACTTCGACTCACGAATTCGGAGACTCTCTGAGAAGGAGGGGCGTGTTTCAAAAAACCAAGTGATGTTAGGCTTAATCTTTTTGTGGGAAACCTCGGCCCAACGCACAGGAGCTGGCACTAAGGTCATCAGTGTTGTGGGGGATGGGCATCGGGGGACCACTGAGTTTGTACAAGAACGGGCACTGAAAACGAGGGACAACAGCCATGAACCCCCCAAACTCTGGGCTTCGGCTGCAGTTCCAAGTGGCTTACAAGAGTTTGCAGTGAGATCCTGTTCACCTGCAATTCACAACCTTGGGTCCCCAAGTGACTAAATCCGTCTTGATGTTAAAACATATGTTTATGAATTCTAACCAAAAATGTGTGTATATATATATTTTTTGGGTGTTGCCTAATAGCTGTAACAGTGAGCACAAACCAGAGCACCATTTTTGCACGGTGAAAAACGTCAAAAAACACTCCCACCCAACCAAGGGATGCGATTCTTTTTAGCCCTGGCTAAGCAAAGCTGTCCATAAAGTCACGGCCTGCCAGGAGTCAGGTTGGTCAAGAATTACCCTACACTTGTCCCAAGGTGCAAGAGTTCTGGCACAACTTTTACAAAAAAAACAAACGCACACGAAACCTTTTTCTGCCAACAATTGGTGCTGCGTGTTTGGGCTTTCCAAGGCGAGGGCTTCAAAGAGTGGTTGAACACAGACGATTACTTTGTTGAACTCATGATGAAAGAACATACATGCTGTCTTTTGTTCTTGGTTGTTCTTACAGTCTTACTTACATGTTACAACCTTGCGTTCCCTCGCTTGGGTTAGATCCCTAGACCTTTTTGGTCTGTCAAATCTGAGCCAGCCAAAATCTGAGCCAGCCACTGCCAAACAAAACATTGGTTGACTAGAGGTTGTGTTGGGACTGGCTGGAAGCAAAAAGAACTAAAAAAGAATAGCATCAGCATCAACATTCCAAGAAGAACCCAAAACTGTCATCATCAACACTTCTTTCACAACATTGAGGAAATTTAGCTGAAAGACAAGTAGTCACACGGGCCGGTAGAGCTGGACTTAGCAGATCTGACACTCGGCAATTGGAAATTGCAAAGACGCACTTCCCACAACTGCAAAAAAAAACGCTTTGAGAGAAGCAGGGAGCACACGTGGCAGGCTGCAGCCAACTGAAGATCCCCTGCCCAACAACAACACAGGTTCTTTTACTTTGACCTATTTTTCCAAGAAGGGCTGCAGGTTGCCACAGCACCACCTCAGTCCACTGTGCTCACGCAGTGGCTGCCTCCAGCCACTGCAACAGTGCTTTTGAAACTGTGACGCCATTGCGCTCAAGCGTCTTGCGATACCTCAGAAAAAGAAAAGAACATGAATGCGTTCACATGGACCACGCAAAAGAACCACAGCGCAACTCGCAATCTCCACGAAACGTTGACTCTGCTTGCGCGCGCGCGCGCGCGCTGAAAACATAGTTGCCAGAGAATCGCTGGCTGGGTCCCTTTGATGCCAAGATGCTCGCGGCGCAATGCCGAGCGCTCCACTCGGTTCCTGTTGGCAAAAAGCGGTGGAACAGGAGGTTGAGGCCGTGCACACTTGACGCGTATACCTTCACTTTCTGCAGCTTGGTGCTCAAGGCCTTGACCTGGCCACACTGACTCCAGCCAATTGTCCATTGGCAATCTATCCAGAGCAGCACACGCACCCTGGAAGTCCTCCAGGGATCCCACACAAGCCTCGTCGGGACAAACACTCCACAGCTTAAGACAACATTCGAGTGGCGCTAGCTAGCATCAGAATACTTCCAATCCAGCCAGGAAGTTGTCTGCGTCTGAGGAGCGGTCTAGTTTCTCCAGGGGGGCCTTTGCCAAATTGGTGGTTTCCCATGCGCTCGTGACCAGCTTGTCACGAGACACAAACAGTGAGGTTTGCTGGTCTTTCGTCAGCCTGGAAGCAGAAATTCGTGAACTATATCTATTTTTTTATCTGTTATCTGTGAATTGAAACATGGTTCCTTTTTCTATTTACCAAAAACGAAAGAGAAACTTTCACAAACAATGAGAAGACTGACTGGAGGAAGTGACGCAACAAAAGTCTGCCTCCTTATCACTGGTTTGCAACCCTCACAACTAAGAATGAAGATGACTTGGCGCTGTGACTGCAGGCAGGTAGCGACACAGCTCCCGAGTCCAGCACCCGCTGGAACAGGCACCTATTCACCTCTTCCACCTTCTGCTCCCAAGCATCTTTCAGTCCATGGAAGACCTGCCAAACAAGAAACAATTATATAATCATTGAAGGCGTCCTCATTTTGCTGGCTGGGCAATCTGCACCATTCTCATTTTGGACACCTAAGGTCTGCTGTGGAAACTCTGCGCCGGCCTTGAACACCTGAAGCTGCTGGCCAGAAGGAGCTGTGAAGGATTCTGCTTGGATGCCATCGTCAGCAGGGTCCCTGCCATACTGTTGGTGATAGGTCTCTTTTGTGTAGATGCGCACGCCTCCCAACGACGTCAATTTCACCAGGACTTCTTTCTCCTGCAACACCAAGCTGAGAACGGTAGGCCAGCTAATTGCGAATGGGCAGAACGACCACACAATGACGTCTTGAGTGGTTTCAGGGGCTTCTCCAAACTTGAAGGAGGTCCAATATTAATTCAAAAGTTGCGCGCGCCTAGGGAAAAGCAATTGACAATTGACCAATTGATTTGCCGCAAATCGCCTGTTTGTTTCCTCTCCTCTCCTTTTCTTTTTCCTTTCCTCTCCTTTTCCTTTTCCTTTCATCTCCTCTCCTTTTCCTTTCCTCTCCTCTCCTCTCCTTTTCCTTTTCCTTTTCCTGTTCCTTTTCCTTTTCCTTTTCCTTTTCCTTTTCCTTTTCCTTTTCCTTTTCCTTCCTTTCCTCTCCACTCTTTTTCCTTTTCCTTTTCCTTTTCCTTGCCCTTTTTCCTTTTCCTTGTCCTTTTCCTTTTCATTTCCCTGTTCCTTTCCTCTCCTCTCTGGTTCATTTTCCTTTTCCTTTCCCATCCTCTCCTCTCCTTTCTCTTTTCCTTTTCCTTTTCCTTTCCTTTCCTCTCCTCTCCTTTTGCTGAGCCTGCGGTGCCTCTCAAAGGCTGTTTTGCTTCTTCTGGTGGCTATCCTGGCTATCCTGCTGCTTCTGGTGGCTGGCCTGGCCAAGGCTGGCCTGGGCAAGGAAACGAAAAAGAAACAATCGGAGATGTTTTTCGAGAGGATGGAATGTTTACTGGGAGCATCTGCCAGCTCCTGCACTAACAGTGAGCACGGAGGGCGCGGCAAAAAAGCACGAACCAAGGCACCATTTTTTGCACGGAGGGCGCGGCAAAAAAGCACGAACCAAGGCACCATT